TAATTCTTGCGTCCAACTTAAGAAACACGAAAATATGACTGTTAAACCTTAATTTTGACGTTATAACAACAAAATAATTTGTTAATTTTAATCTAAAATCCAAAATTTTGTTTTTACCACAATGGCACCGCTGAGTATTCCGTTTGTATTTATCAGTCTTTAAATAGAGATATTACCTTAAAGGCTAATTTTAAATATAGACATCCTATTTCCGTTAAATTACTTATGTAACAAAATCAAAATGTTTCTTATTAAATTTTCTACATCATTGGGGAAAATATTGGGATTATCTCGTACTGTTGTATTGATTTTCGACGTTAAAGTTCGACATAGTAGATGACGAAAATGAGGTTTTCGTTAGATTTGCTTCTTGGCTTTTTCGGCCCTATCTTTTAAACAAAGTAAGAATTTTTATATCTCGTGTATTGGTGTTGATAATTAACTTTTAAAGATAACAAAACCAAGCGGTTTTTTTAATTTTATCAAAAAACAAAGTTTTTGGGTGCCCTAAACAGGAAAAATAATTTCCTAGATCTGTTGTAAATTTTTGTAGGTTTAACAATTTAATGATAAGAAAATCCTGCGCACGGCCCTGATTAAAGATAAAATAAACATATTAATAATACGGTATTATGCAATCAATGAATATTTTAAATATAAATTTAGCGTTAAAATATTATGCTATGCCTTTAAATGCATTTGTAAACAAACTAGTCGCTCACTAAAACATTTTGTGTGCCAAAAGTAACATAACTAATTAGGATGTATAATTAAGTTTTTTAAATTCTCGCCTCGTTTATGATTTCCATTCATTTAAAATGCAGCTAATTAAACTATTCATTACAAAAATTTGAAAGGGCTTTAGAAGTAGAAAATTAGAAATGTTATTAAAACATTTTTTTTATTTGAATGATTGACAATCACTTTGCATCTAAACTAACAACAATAAAAATATATATAAGAATATAAATAAAATAAAAATTTCATTACGATAACTGTTTTACGTGAAAGGTATTATAACAATTTAAAATTTAATTGAATTTTAAAGATTTTAAGTAAACTAATTTTACTAATAATCAGGAATATAACAGCTTGGTGAAACTACTTTATTATAGAAAAACTAGTAAATGTTTAATACAAAAAAATACCAATTGTAGGAGAGCCAGCAACATGTTGCATGTGCACAAAGTATACACTGAAAGAAAAATCTCTGCAAATATCATAAAACTTATAGGTTCATTTAACAACATCTTTTGTAGTATTTCACCCGACATAAATTTTATCATCTGAATGTAGGCTTTAGTTAATATAACAAAATATGTACATTGTTGATAAAACAATATTATTAGTAACATATACAATTTAATTTGTTAAAATCCAACAAAATAATTGTGCGATCGAAATAAGAATTTCGTATAGATGACAAAATATTTTGTTAGGTTAAAAAAATTTTTTATTGCATAAATCAAATTATTTGTTGGAATAACAAAACCTTTTGTTAAATTTTTGCAACGTAATTCGTTAATAGAACATAATTTGTATATACCTTTGACAAATTAATTATTTTTGTTTAACAAATGAACTTTTGTTGAAATAACAAAACGCTATATTATTTTATACTAAAATGTTGTTCATTTTACTACAAGAATACTGTATTTTTGTATATACAGTGTAATTCAAAAGAAGGATTTATACACCAGATTAAATTTAAAAATTGTTTTACGGAATCTTTAACTTTTAATTTTAATGTTAATTACATAATTTAAATTTCGATGCATAAATATTTATAGTTTGTTAATACTTACCTGAAAAATTTATGGTAAGTAAGGTAAGGTATTGAGAAAATTAAATGAATTACTTACGGCGCTCCAAATTTAGTAAATTGGGTGAAGGTAATTTAAATTATACGAAAAAATACTAGAAGTATTCGAAACAAAGAAACTTACTTTATTAATAAATTAAGTATAAATAATTTTACAAAAATAAAAATGTCTTTTACAAATGTGTAACTTTTCATTTAAAAAAAATATATATCATCATAGCGTCACTTTTTTGGGACTCCCTGTATAATCAAAAATAATTTCCTGAAATTGGTCCCATTACGCAGGTAAAGTCTGCCAAATATTATAATCCCAACTTAATTAATAACTGAGCTACAAAAGACGGAAGCTGAGCTGCAGGACCCTGTATAGGTACTCGTAAAATAATAAAAGCGTTACCTTAATATTTTCGATGCACTAGAAACGAAACTGTAGAAATAACACAGAAATAATTATTCACCAAATAAACAAATAAACAATTATAAATGGAAATATGAAGAGTACCTAGAGTTGAAAAGAATGCACACTGTCAGAATACATTTGCCAAGTAGCAGTGTTGCTACACTCTTAGAAAAGACCTGGTATTTGTAACTAACTTATTATCGTTGGGGTAAAACTGTTGCAGAAAATAAAATTTTTTGTTTTTTGTAATCAGTACCTTTATATGTGTAACTGCTTGCATCATTACCTGAAAAGATTTAGTTTTGTTGTTGAGTATTATTTACTGCAAAAAGGCGATTAAGTTATTTTAACTGAAACTTTGTGTTGGCTAGAAGTATTGACAACATTATCTCAAAAAAATCATTTCGGCGGTAAAATGTTTTTGTTGGACCAAATATTTAAGTAACATTCTCAACTGACTGAAATTAGTCCGTGGAACTAACGGTTCGGTTGTATAAACTATGCGTCACTTTTCACACAGCTAAGACACCAGCGGTGTGAAACAAAGTGTCAGTTGGGGATGTTGTCTCTGTAGGTTAATGCAACTGCAAACTTTGTGCATTTTTTTTTCGCGCGCGTTTTGTCCAGCACGGCGCGTGCTTTACTTTTAACCTGTAAACAAACGGTGTTGCACGGCGTCCAGACTTCGGTGGTGTTTGTTCTTTTGTATTTGTGTATCAGCTCGTGTGTAGTGTATATTTTAGGTAAGAAACTAATAATAATAATAAATTTTCTTTATTGAAAAAAATACATTTTTCAAAGGGCCATTGACTTTCGTCCTTCAGCCGGCTACATACTTTTTAACTATTCATATATATATAAGAATATATTCTTATGTGTTGGTTACTTATAGATATCTCGAACAAATAATATGGATGAGCGGACTGAAGTAGAAGATTTATTAGGAACATGGGGTTTACCTGAATTGGTTCCAGTTTTTAAAGGTTAGGTATTATTATTGCACTAATTTAATTACACTATTGTATACAAAAAACTATAGTTTTGGGGTCCGAAAAAAAATCCAAAAATGTGAAAATGCCATTCCGACTGAAAATGGCCTCCTGAATCCAATGGTGCCCACCAAAAGTCTCCATCACGTCGGAATTTCGAGAATTTTTTTGTTTCGTTTTGTTTTGTTACAGCTCAAGTCGCATTTTTGGTATAGGGCCTATACTATAGGCACTTACACTCAAAATTTATCGAATGCTTACCCCTGTTATCATGCAAGTATGTTACGTTGTACCTAAGAATCATTGTTAAGATGTTAAACAAAGGCTTGCACTTCACGTAAACATCACGGTTTACTGAAGAAGTATAGTCAACTTATATTTGGTGTTTTCAGTTATATTGTTATTTTCAGTTATATTGTTATTTTTTAATTTATAATAAATATTTATAAAACGAACGGGCATGAATTTCCTTTCTCTATTCTTTATAATATTTACACAAAAAGTGTTATATTTACTAAGCAGGTATGTACTGTGGAATAATACAAATTTGTTGTTGCTACTAATGCAAGCATTTAATATTAAATATAACTTAGTTACAGTAAAAAACAAATTTATATTATATCAACTATTAAATTCTTTAAATGTACCTTTTTTCATGTAATTTCAATTAAAAAATAAATTCCTGCATGATACAATGTTTGTTGTGATAAATAGCAAGTGCAGTTGTTACAACTTAGACGCTGCTAAAATAACAGACTAATGTGATTGCATTAAATATCAATTATTTGTATGAAAAAAAAAACTAATTTCGATGCACTTAAACTTGTTGGTTGGAGCTACCAATATTGGCTGTTCCGACAACAAACTGTAAAAACAAATTTGTATTAGTTCCCACAACATATTTTTTTGTTGTGCCTATTTTCACTAATAAAATTGGTTCTGGGAACTAAATTTTCATTGCAAATACCAGGTCTTTTTTAAGAGTGTATATAGGGCCCGCTTTTTTTTGGTTTAACCAAATTATTGTTAAGAGAACAAAAACTTAATAATTTGGATAAAAGAAAAATGTAACATAAATACTTTCGTTTTTGTTGAAAATAAAAATTGCGGCAATTTAATTTGTTAGTAGGATATACAAAAGTATTTTGTCAATACAACAAATTGTTAAAGAATATTTTATCAGCTGCACTGACAAAATAATTTCGTTCAATTGACGAAATTTTCAAATTGTAGTATTAACACATTTTGATTTATATAACAAATTCGTTTGTAGTTATAATAAGCTGCCATAATTTTAACAAAATAGTTTGTAAATTAAACGTTTTTTTTAGTTCTTTAATAAAATTTTTCTTATAAAATTTTACAAATTTCAAGTTGTTAGTTCAACAATTACAAAATTTTGTTGATTCTAATTTTGTTAAATAGTTTGTTGTTTTAACAGTCTTTTTGGTTTATTTAAACAAGTTTTGTATAAAAATGGTCTACAAAACCTTTTTGTTAATACTGCATGCAGGATTTTTTTCAGTGTACCTTGAACGATCGTATTTATTTGAGGATGCTTTATAAAAGACAATAAATTAATTAACCAAAGTTATCAAAAAAAAAATTAGAAAACAAATATATTTAATAAATTATTTACTTTTAAAGAAATCGCAAGAAGAATGACAAATTATCGAGTTCGATTACGATTGATCTGTAGATCAACATATATGTTTTCCTTTAATTTTTTTTACTTTTACCAAGTTTCAAATTTGTTTAATTTGTAAAGATGCATTTATCATTTTTTTAGGAAAATTATTGACGATAAAAATAATTCACGAGGCGATAAATCTGTTGCGGGGTGCGGTCACCATTGTATACCCAATGAAGTTACCGCCGCATGACGTTATCAGGATGGAGTTTGAAAACATCGAAGATTTGTCGGGCACGCAGGCTTCTTTGGAGATTATAGATCCTTTGACGGCTCAAATGTGGTTTTGCGGAAAGGAGGTGTACAGAGAGGGCAAAAAAGTCGGAGATTTTGCTGGAAAAGTGGAAAATTGCAAGGTAATATAATATGGCTTTTTTGGTTTTTAAAAACATTTCAGGCACGAATTTAATTTAGGAATGAGCGAGCTATTATTATCTAAAAATGATTTAAATTAAATATTTGTCTAGAGCGACATCTATGAAACAATAGAATTACCAACTTGAAAATGTGTTTTATACAAAAAGATCTTTCAATCATTACTGATTTTTCGTTAAAAAGACCTTAAATAATCCTTATAAGTCTTCCCAAAATAAATTAATCTTTCGATTAGCTGTTGGTCGGCACTGGCTGCAGCTGAGGTCGGCATTAGTCGCAGTGATGTTAGATATACGGATTTTTCCGTATTCTACGGATTTTCGAGTATATTGGAAAATTATACGGATTTTTATACGGAATTCGGGGACAATACGGATTTTATACGGATTTATAACAAATCCAATTTGTATACCTAAATTATCGCTAAATTCCATTCACACTAAAACACGGTTCATGACGAATTCAGGAAGCTGAAGGGCATGTTTCGTTATAAATGTGACACGGACGTGACAAATTTTGGAAAAAAGTTGAGGTAGAAGTGCGTTCATGGATCGTCGGTACTGCCTCACTAGACTGGGCCAAAAAAATCGACAATTTTTTTTTGTAAAGTATTTATTTCGAAAATATTGTTTGGGGTGACAAAAAAAATTATGGTAAAAGTTTGAGTCCATAATATTAATAGGTCTCTCATCGTAATTTTAGATTTTTTCCTGAGCGAGTTTTTGTCTCAGAACTCCCAAAGCATTGAGTTTAACAAAATTGACTCGGAGATATTTTTTTAAGGAAATCAAATGCTCTATAAAAAGTCTCTTAACATTTTTGGCTAAATTATCTCAATCAAAAGTTATTCAAGGTTACTTTTTATATGAATTACAAAATTACAAAGTTAAAAGATCAAAATGTAAAACTATACCAATTTTTAAGCCATGATTTTAAGGAAACGGCTCATCTGACGGAAAATTTAATTTTAAGCTTTCTTGTAGAGCATTCAATTTCCTTAAAAAATATTTTTGAGTCAATTTTGTTAAACTCAATGGTTTGGGAGTTCTGAGACAAAACCTCGCTCAGGAAAAAAAATCTAAAACTGCGATGATAGACCTCTTAATATCAATATTATGGACTCAAACTTTCACAATAATTTTGTTGTCACCCCAAACCATATTTTCGAAATACTTTAAAAAAAATAGTCGATTTTTTTGGCCCAGTCTACTGCCTCACACGTCAACGGACGACGAACGGGTATTCTCTATCATCAATATGAACAAAACCAAAATGCGTAATAAAATGGAAAATGAGCTACTTACGGGTATCTTACACGGCAGAGTAAATAAAAAAAATTGCTTGATCAAATTGATGTAATGTCTCTTCTGCTTGAATGAAAACATGTATTAATTTGAGTAGTGCCTTTAGAACCAGTGGCGGATTTAAGAAAAAAGGCCCAGGCGGCTAAATTTTAAAGATAACTGAAATTCATCGTTAAAGAAATTTACAACATTTCAGCTGGGGAGGCCTTTCTGTTGGGGGGGCCAGGCAGCAACAGCGCATTTGTCTAAAAAATAAATCATCAACATGGAAATTAAATTGCCCCTAAATTAGTCTAATTATCGATAAAAAATACACGTAATAATCCTTAATCCCCACCCCACTACTAGGTCAAATACGGATATTCAGCGCTAAAGATCACTAATCACTGATTAGTCGGCAGATAATAAAACTTTTGAAAATGCCGACTACTGAAAATGAGGATCCGAATTGACAATTTGTATCTAAATAATTTTCGAAAAATCCCGATTAGTTTACATTTATTAAAAACATTGGATTTATAATCAGAACATTATTTAATCAAAATTGCAATATTTAATGCACAATAGTAATGGATCAATTATTTAATAATTAATAATGCTAATTATAAAAATTACTGTGTGAAGTATTTATTTTCTTCATAAAAACTAGGTATTTACATATTTTATTTTTATTATTATTTTGTATTTCATAAATAATGTTCCATAATGATTTTTATATACCTATTTTTAAGCCGTTGTAATTGTATCTAGAATATGTCTTACTTTTTAATATACATATGTTTTAATCCATTGAAATGATTATTTAAATTTGAACTTTTTAATTTTATTTATCATTACTACATTGTAAATCTCGGCAGTTCCCTTTACATATAAACGTACAATAGGTTGTATAACTTCTAAAATATCATCATTAATATATCTAAGCTATCTTTCAAAACGCAGTTTTTAAGTTATTCTCCGCAAAGGCAGCTGAATTAAGTAAGCCATTGCGTTTTATTTAAACTGCAAAGTATGCCATTAACCTGATATAAAATATATAAATAATGGCCATAAATATCTGAACTAGAAATGTTTTTCTTTCAAAATTTTTTCAACTAGTTTTAAAAGATAGCTCCTTATAGTATATTATATAATATATATATATTATATTATATATACTGTATAATATATATTATATTATATATACTGTCTATATAAAGGGGTAAGAAGTTAAAGGTGGATAATCTACAGACCCCTAGAAATCCCAGAAAATTATTTAAAAATTCTACCTTATTTTATTTAAAAAGATATGAGAGCGTAAACATTAAGTTTTTAAACCTAAAAATTATAGGTTTACCTTAATTAAGTCGTATGCTTAAGAAATAGTTTCAATAGGAACTAATGTTTGATCTTATAAAAAAATTATTTTAGGATTTTTACTTTAATAATATGCGTTCTTTTGACATTACACCATAGACAATGATCATAGAGAAACCGCAATGACAATGATTGACATTTAAAATTAAATTCTCTCATAGCATTATTGTTATGTACTTCTTTAGTAAGTAATACTAAAGTTCATTTTTTAATCTGGACTGCGGCAACGTTGCAAATTTAGGGTTTTGGTTGGTAAATACAGTTGTCAAGTTGGTCGCATTGATTTAAACAAACTAAGCTAGTTATAAATCTAATTGTGGTTATGTATAAATTATTGTAGGTGACATTGTGCAGTTGTCAAGTTGAGTTGTCGAAATTCGTATTTAAAAGTGCTTGGATGAGTAAAATCATATAAAAAAGTAGTTAAATATAGGTTGCTTTACGGCCCAGAAGAGAAAGTATTCCTAGCGGAAAATAATCTTCGCTTTGAAAAGAATTTATATAAAAGAAATTAAAATTTTTTTTGAACGTAAATGTTGTCCAATGGTGAATATTATGAAAATAATGTGTGATGTCCATAAGGCGATGTACTTTTTCTTCCATTGTGGCATTTGGCATAATTTCATCAAAATGAAGTTTTGCCCTCAAAAGGGCTTTTACATTCGAATTCGTTGCTATTATTTTTGGCATAATTATCTTTTTATTTATAATTGACAAGTAAATTATCAATAATAAATAATATTGTCAATTTGACAGTGTCAAAGTATTTAATTAAATTCTTTAGCAGAAGTACCATTTTTAAATACTAAAAATACTAAGTCAAACTGGTATAAGCCACCAACCTAACAAAAAAACACGAGTCCAGATAAAAAAAACTGAATTTGTGTTTAAAGAATGCTTAAAAAATGCAAGTCATTTAGCCTGTGTGTCAATTTAATGTTAATATTTGGATAGCGCTTATCTAAAAGGAACCAACCGCCAACTTTTAAAATTGAGTAAACTGGGTTTAAAGTTTTTAAAGTATATAAAATTCATTTGTAATTGCATTAGTCCAGTTTTGGCGTTTTATTACAGTAAAATGATTAACTTAAATAAACCTAATGAATTTTTCCAAATTTAGTGTTGCTATTTGGTAATACAGGTAAAAATGGCGCTTAGTTCCTTTTTGATAAAAAGGAAATTTTAGACATGGATCTCTTTAAACACTTTTTAGACAAAATAATAAAATAACACATGGATCGTTTGACTTATTTTGTACATAAACGTTTGATTTATGTTAGACTTGGGCATAAAATAAAAATAAGACAAAAGCTGTAATATTTTTATAATAACTTCAGTTTCAGTTTCGTGATAAACAAAAAATACAAGCCATTGTTTTCAACTAAAAATAAACAAACATTGTTCGACTAATTATTAGAAAATAAAAGTAAAACTTTTTAATAGGTAATTCCTAAATTAACGACAACAAAAAATTATACATCAGATTCTGTTTCTGGCAAAAAATCAATATTTTCACCAAAACCATCTACATCGTCCTCAAAATCAGCTGCATTTAAGTTTCTATAAAAGTCTTTTACATCGTTAGGAACTAGTGCCATCAAACTTTTAATATCTGCCAATTTTTTTGTAGAAATATCTTTTCCATTTGGGTATAGCATAAACAAATTTGAGGAAAAATCGCTTTTAGTATTAGGACGACCTTTCGTTATTTTCTTTATATTTATTTCTCTAAATTCATCTTGAAAATCGTGTGTGTATTTTACAAATATTGAAAAAGGATATTCTTTGGCCAGTTTTATAACGCGAGTTTGGAGCCAACTTATTTTATGTCCGTTTATATCGGCTTTTCGGTTTATAATTAATTGTTCCAGTTTTGAAGTCCCGAAAAAATCTTCCTTTCCCATTTCTACAACAAATTTTTTCTTATGTGAGCACCGTTGTATAACTTCTAAATTCTTCTAAAGTGTACAAACGTATTTGGTATTTAATAGATCTCTCAATTTCTCCAAAATCGGTGTCATTGGGTAGGAAACTGTGGCCAGGTATCAAGTACTTGAGGTAGATTGTTTTAAGTAAAGGATGTGCTTCTAAAATGGCTATTAGTAGCAATACAATTTTAATATTTCTGTTTTGCCCCCCACATGAGTCAGACCATAATATTAATTCTTCTGTTTCTGGAGTTAAATACATGTCTACAAACTTTTTAAGACAAGATCCTACCTCTTGAGCTTCCCGACCCGCAGTTCCCTCCTTCCACACAAAACAATATGGTGTATCGTTCGAGCTTGTATGTACTCCTTCGTTATAAATTGACAGTTGTCATTTGTAATATACAATGTTAGTGGGGAGTTTTGGCAAACCTAAAACTTTTTCCATGTCATACGTTGCGGTCTCCAATTTATTGTTTGTTTTTGCCTCCCCCATGTCATGCTTCATTGATTCTCTTGCTTCCTGTGCCTTTAGTAAGTGCTGTTCGTGTTGCAACTCCTGTTCCTCTCTAAGTACAACGTCGTGTTGAAATTTTTTTATTTTAGCATTAAAACTATCACATAAATTGCAAGTATCTTTAACTGGAACTTTGCGCCTTAAATTAAAGTTTTTATAAAATATAGTTTTGTACGAGGAGAATCCCATTTTATGGTTTGGTTCATCTTCCGTGTATAAACTAAACATTTTTCTAAGTAGGTATAAGATCAGTTTGCAAAAACTTTGCTTCACTCTCATTTCTTGTGTAATGTGAAATATATGTAGGAAATCTCGATATTTGATTTATTACTTTATTTTTAGTTTCTTCGTTTAATTTATTATGTCCCCCTTGCATGAAACCTCGTTCATCTTTAAGTGATCCTGTTTTTATTTTATTTAAGGCTGTATTTAGGTACTCTTTTTGGTGAAATCTGTAGAGTTTTTATGTATCTCTACATAATCTAATATTAGTTATTTCATAAACTCTAGAATTTTGTCTTCTATTGCTCTCTTTGTTTCGTTTTTTTATATGCCATGCTGTTTAACTGTGGCCGCTATATAAGCAGTTTGGGCATTGTAGTTCCCTAAACCCCAAAACTGTTCAAACACATCTTTTCTGACTTCTTGTGTTACCTTCTCGTTACATTTTAATGTGCAATTGCACAAAAAGTCTATAAATTCCTTAGGTTCTACCTTTTTTCCTTTAATGCTATAGTGTTTCTTGTTTGAGTCTCTTAATTGCTTTCTGGTTTTAAAAGTCTGTCCGGGATAGCTTGTTTTTCTTCGCTTTTTAGGCCTTCCCTTTCTATTTGACCTTTCTTGGAGTAATGCTAAGTTTCTTTGTGTATGCTCTAAATTTTCCTCCTCGATTTCCTCCAGAGTGGAATCTACACCAGAACTACCTGAACTTTTAGAAATCTTAGTACCAGGGTCGTATTCACTTCCAGAGTCCTCGAAGTCGGAAAAATGTGCAAAGTCTTGTTTATTTATCTGAAAATAAATATGTAGGCAGGTCCAATAAACATTTTAATAAATAACTCACATTTTTTTTAGGCAAAGTGTCAATTGGGCCAATTTTCATTAAATTGGTTTCAAAGTTGCCATTATCATTTATTGCTATATTTATTTTGTTTAGCTCTTTATCTGCATCTTTAGCCTTATTTTTGGCACTGCAACAAGCATCTGGACTCGTAGCACTTTTACTCATATTTCTATCAAAAATTAGTTTCGAAACAAGCCATAAACAAAAAATAATAACACAAATATTTTAATGTCAAAAGGGAACCAAGCGTCACGATATTTGTCAAAATAGCCTTGTGCGCCTTGGATCCGTTCAGAGAAATATAAAAACAGCAGTTTTAAACCAGCAACTTGGTAACCTCAGGAAAAAATTTTGTTACAATTAGCTTTGGCGTTTAAATATTTTTGAACAATCTAATATAAAGTATTTATAGGCGTTTGGTGCCTGTAACTCGAAAATTGTGATTTGGCGGTTGGTTCCTTTTAGATAAGCGCTATCCATTTGTTAAGTTCTTTTTCATGGATTTAGTTTAAAATTAACTAAAAAATACTTAAATAAGTAATTACTTCTTAAAATTAATAAATATTACATCTGTCTGGCAATACTTGAAATTGATAGAATATTGCATTTATATTGGTTAGAAATCTATATCTGTATGAAAAATTTATATCATAATGGATCTTATTATAGTAGGTATAAAAATGGGAGTAAAACAAACCTCAATTTATAAGGTTGACAAATTTCCCAAAAAAAAAAGTTTATTATAGACAAGGCGAAGAAAGCTCATATTATTACCTAGCATATATTTCAGTAGTGGATTGCGTTTAAGGCTTTCGCCCCCTTGTTTTATATAGTATTTTGAGATTTTGAGATTTAAAATTTTGTCACATAATGTTTAGGTTAAATTTATAATAATTTGATTTTTAAACTAGTATTGATATAAAGTCTTTCTAATAATATATTTATTTACAGCTTAAAAAATACACCCTTGTTATAATGATCAAAATATACAATTTTTCAAGCGTAGAATAATTTTTATATTATAACATAAATAAGTCTATATAGAAAGTTTCTATACAGTATAGACTTATGTATTTTATAATATAAAAATTATTCTACGCTTGAAAAATTGTATATTTTGATCATTATAACAAGGGTGTATTTTTTTAAGCTGTAAATAAATATATTTTTAATGCTCATTTAAAACTTTTTTTTAGATTATCATGAAGCTTTCAAAACGTGGAGAAGGAGCTCCAGCAAGAGAACCTATCATGTCGGAGAATGATAGGAAACAAATGATGCTACACGCATACAGAAAACAGGAGGAACTAAAAAAATTAGAAGCCGATGATGACGACAATTATATGGATTCCGAATGGGCTAATAAAGGAAATTTAAAAAGACATTTTCATGGATTAAATAACATATCCTGGGGACCAAAATAAATATATGTATTTTCTAGTATAATTTTATAAAACAAGCTTATGATTATTTTTTTGTGCAGAAAGTTTTGGCATTTGTATTGCAAATTTATTTCACAACAAACACAAAGTGCCCTCAGGAAAAGACACATTTACACAGTCAAAACTTAGGTGCTTTCGTTTTCCGTGCAACCGAGTGTACTTAAATAATATACATGGTGTCCCAGAAGTCGTGCACCACCTTGTAGGATCCACAGAACCAGAAAATTGTAAAAAAAATATACCTACCTTTATTATTTAAATAGATAAAAATTGAGATTTTAAACTTAAATATAATAAGTTTACCTGAATTTTATATAATGTACAGAATATTCAAAAAAATGGTTTTAATAGGAATTATTTTATTCGTTTGTCAATATGATCAGCATTAATTGATTATCACAATAATTAATTGGTTAATTGATTGTTATCTGTTTACATCACACCATGTACATTTTTAAATTCAAAATTATATTCTGTAATAACATTTCTGCTAAATATTAATAATATTAATTTAATATCAATATAATATCAATTTGATATGTATTCAGTGAGTAATACTCACTGTACCTATACTGTGGGGAATCCTTAAAAAATACAAGTCATTTAGCCTCTTTATTATGTTAAGCCTTTTTATCATGTTAATATTTATTTAGTTTTTGTTGAATTTATTAATTCCTGACAGGGACCAGTATTTGCTTTTGTCTGACCTAAAATAAATAACCTCTAACATTTTTTAATATTTTTGTCATTATGATTAGGAATAATAATCCACCAAATTATTAGTACGCAATGTTGCCATTTAAAAAAAATATGTATCCTTTCAGAATCAACCTTTTTAAATAAGTAACGTTTTTTACTATTTTCCTGGACTTTGGACTGTATAATGTTGGTGTTTCATTATTCTTAAAAATGGTGTTTCATAACTTAGTACGACAAAATTTGATTTTTTTTCCTCAAATGAATTTTTTTATAGATTTTGAAAATTTAATTTAGATTAAAAAAATGATACCCGTGTCTCGGCGTGTTTTCAGATCACGTCATTTTTTTTAAGTGCGATCCAATAAAATGTTATCCATGGTATTCGGCACATAACATAACAGCTAGACAGTATATTTTTATGAAAAATTTATTCACTGAATAAATGGACAACCATTAAGATTATTTATTTATTTTAAAATTATTTTAATTATATACAGGGTGTTTCACGTCCGTGGTCCATTGAGAGTTTCTCAGGAACGGCAAAAGATATCGATTTGAAATTTTTAAAGCGTTTATAATCCAATTAAGCCTTTTTCTAAAATATTTTAAACAAAGTGCCACTTCCGGCTTGAGCAGAAGTGACATCGTCTTTGTTATTTTAAATGGAACACCCCATATATTTTTACATTTTTAAATTTTACATAAAATTAGTAAAATTACTGTATCATGTCCTATAGTTTTGGAGTTATTAATTTTATTTATTTTTACGAATGAAACAGTGTAAAATTGCGAGAAAATTGGATTAAATTAATTAAACAATTATAAGCTAAATTTTTTTTTTATAAATCTAATTTAATCAATCACAGATTAACTTATTTACATTAAAACCATGCATTTTAAAAAATCTTACGTGAGATTAAGGGAGGGGGGAGGTAGTCGAGCAAAATCTCACCAAGGGGAGGGGGGAGTCGAAAAATCGAAAAAATTGCCTCGCGTAATTAATGGATGACCCCTTAGCCCAATTTGCCCTGGGGTTTCTCGGGTAATTTGTTGAAAAATGTTAAAGAATTGACATGGAATTTTTTAAACAATGTTTTAAGATTGCAAACATTTTACCCCCATATCCGTAAACCTAATAGCAAACATCTATAAAACTATTCACTTTAGGTATAGTAAATGGTAAAGTAATTTTACTCAGAATTTTGTGTAGAATTTAAAAATGTAAAAATATACAGGGCGTTCTATTTGAAATAACAAAGTTGTCACTTCCGGTCAAACCGGAAGTAGCATTTTGTTTAAAATAGGCTTAATGGATTATATACGCTTTTAAGTTTCAAATCTATATTTTTTTCGTTCTTCAGAGACTTCCATTGGACCACGAATGTGAAACACCCTGTATATCAAGTGGTGTTTTTAGGTTGTGATAGCACTATAGATTCAAAAGCAATGTATAATCGTCAAACTAAAAGATCAAGATTTGTTTTCAATATATATTTAATATAGGATAAATACAAATCTGTTGTTTTATTAAAAAAAATCAAAAATTAAAACCAGAAAATTGTTATTTTTTTAAGTATAATTTTTGTATTAAGTAAAAACTTAAAATATTTGAAGAAAAAAAATGATTTATAACAAAATAGAGAGTTAAAAATCTGTTTGATGATTTCGTGAAACGGTGAGACACGGGTACGTTTTTATAACCTTAATTTTTAAAATCTTAAAATTTTTCATGGGAGGCAAATCGTGTTGTACTGTGTAAGGGCCGATATTGACACATTATCCAACTAAAAGTGATACCTAACCTCAATCAATAACCCATCATGTTAATTTTTCAAAATTTTGTCAGTTTTTAATAAATTTTTACGTTATGAACCGATACCAAGGCATATCATCTTCAAGTTTAAGTTTATCTGATGAGGAAAATACGGAAATATTTTTAAGGAGATAAAACTATGGAAAAAGAGAAAACATGTTTGATGGTTATGATGATGTTGATATTTTTGATAGATTTCGTCTATTCCTTTTTCAATTAATCGAACATGAATTATTTATAAATTTAAAGAAAGACTTTCACTTAGTGATATGTTGTCCAGCAAAGATATCTTTGCTTTGATTTCAGGGGTAAAGAGGTTATTAATCTATGGGTAAAAGTATTTCGCGAATGGTCCAGTTTCTCATTACACTACGCTACTACGCAACTGGTAGTTTTTAATTGAAATGAGAGATTTTATGGGGGTGTCAAAACCTTCTTTAAAGTGGTCTTGATGGGAGACTTTATATTTAGTTAAAGTTCATTTTAAAGTCTGATCATGGAACCTACACAAGGAGTCCAAAATTGACAAAACCTGACCACTAAATTGCACAAATTATGTCCTGTTTTTCACCACCAGCGGCGCTGATTGTCGATGCGTACTAATGTCTGCTGTTATGGTAGCGTTTTGGTATAAATCAAACAATTAATAAAACCAGCGCCCTCGTATTTTAGTAAGATATTTTTATACATAAATTTTGGACTCATTGTGTAGGCTCCACGAGTCTGATTATAAAACTGGGAATAAGTATATCAATTTAAAAACTTTTGTTACAATGTACACATATTGCATACATATTTAGTAATAAAAATTGTTTTTAAGATCATTTTTAAAATAATAATAGTGAATAGGTTCGTAACTTTTCTTAAAGCTTAATATTTTATAATAATTATAATAATTATTAATTATTTACATTAGAGTGTTTCATTTTAAAGCAACCCACCTAAAAAATTTGTAACCGGTCAGAAAACAAAAATGTTAAGCTATTACAATGCTCTTAATCTTTATTTTAAGCCGTTGCTATTCAATTTTTAAATATTTCCCTTTAAAAACCATTAAAAACAATTTTTTAATTTTTTCTCCTTTCGCTCGTACAGTATGAATATTTTTTTCGATTTTCGGTTCTAAAATCTTTATACAGGATGAAATTATCTTCAAAAATGTCAATTTAAGCAAGTCTGTAAGTTGAATATGTTCTACACAAATTGTCATTCTACTCGAAAATCTTCTAAAATAGCAGTAAATCGTTTTTAGAGACTAAACTATTGATTGTAGATAAAAAACGTAAATGACAATTTTGTAGGGAATTTTGTTACCCACAAATTTGTTTTCTGTATCACTTATAGTTTAGCTTGTACATCCAAATTTGTTGGCTGTACAAGCTAAACTTTAAGTAATACAGAAAAATATTTAGTGACAAAATTGTAGGGCACAAAATTCCTTACAAAATTGTCATTTACGTTTTTATCTACAATTAATAGTTTAGTCTCCTCGATTTATTGCTATTTTAGAAGGTTTTCGAGTAGAACGGCAATTTCAACATACAGACTTGCTTGAATAGACATTTTTGAAGATAATTTCATCCTGTATAAAGATTTTAGAACCGAAAATCGAAAAAAAATATTCTTACTGTACGAACGGAAGGAAAAAGAATAAAAAATTGTTTTTTAATTATATTTAAAGGGAAATATTTACAAATTGAATAGCAACGGATTAAAATAAAGATTAAGAGCATTGTAATAGCTCAACATTTTTGTTTTCTGACCGGTTACAAGATTTTCAGGTGGTACTGAAAAAAAATGTCGCTCTAAAATAGCACCCTAATATACACAGACAAAAAAGATGTTTTAATTCAAACAAGAATGTTTGTTTAATTTTATTTATTACATTTAAAAAAATATAAATTTAATTCAAAAACATTTCTTTAAAAAGAATAATTGTCTTTATTTAAAAGGAAAAAGCAAATTTATTAAAATATATATTTAAAACAAAGTACCTGACTTTTATTTCAAAATTGCACTTATTCTGTTTAAATAAAAGTTGACTTTCTTAATTTATAAAAACAATTTACTTGTTTTAAAAAATTAAAAAGTTTAAATTAAACAACAAATATTATTTTTTTAAAAACATGGTTTAATTTTAAAATATAATTTTGATTTAATTAAAAAAAATTAATTATTTAAAATAAACAAATTATTATTTAATTTAAACAAATTATTATTTAAATACAAAAAAATTGTAATTTGATTTAAAGCAGAGGTTTATTTAAACTTTTTTGCTCACGTCGAAGTAGCATGACTTGCATCCTATTGGTTGCTGTAAATCAGGCGACTGCAGGCACCCAATGGGCTTTCCATTTTGTATGTACGTGATTTTGGAGACTCCAATTTAGAGCAGGGTGTTGATGAGAAGTGTTGTGTGGCATTATAATAAAATAATAAATAATTTTATATTATTTTATACTATGGAGGACCTTTTAAAGGAATGGGGTCTTGAGAA